TGCCCGCCCACCCGCCCGCCCGCTCACGTGATAACATAATACGTCCCCGTCTTCGACGGGCGTATAAAAATGGAAATGATATATCTGAAATGTTCAACTGTAACGTCGGGGTAAAACAAGGGGGAAATTTGTCGCCATTTTTATTTGCCATTTATCTTAATGATCTAAAAGATTTTCTTGAAGAAAACAGCGTTAATTGTTTACAAACAATAGAAACTTTAAGTGAAAATATTGGAATATATATTAAACTGTTTATAATTCTCTATGCAGATGATACTGTTATCATGTCTGAATCGGCGGAAGGACTCCAATCAGCTCTTAATACTTTTGAATTATATTGTAACAGCTGGAAGCTTGATGTAAATATTCAAAGAGAAAATGTCGAACACAGTTTCATTTTACAAAATGTAATGAAGAGATAGAGGTTCTTGAATCATTCTCCTATTTAGGAGTCTTAATGAGTTACAATGGAAGTTATTTCAAAGCAAAAATGAAATTGTTGGAACAGTCCAAAAAACCTGTTTGCTGTGTACAAGAAAATAAGAAATATTTCATTACCTGTAGACCTTCAATTATTTTTTTTTGATTCTCTTGTATTACCAATACTTCTCTATTCAGTAGAAGTATGGGGTTTTGAAAATTTAAGTGCTATTGAAAAACTACATTTACAATTCTGCAAGCGTATATTGGGTATTAAAAGAAGCACGCCAAACTACATGGTTTATATGTTGAAGTTAAAACCAGAGTAATTATGTTTTGGTATAAATTGATAACTAGCAATAGTCTGTCAAGCACTATGTATAACTTAATATTTAACTTACAAACAAATGGAATCATGGAGTTCAAATGGTTAAAGAATGTTCAAGATATATGTATAGAAACAGGTTTAAATTTTATCTGGGCATATCAAAAAACATGTACGTTTAATAGAGATTATTTGAAACTTGTTGTGAAACAAAGATTACAAGACCAGTTTATCCAAAAATGGTTTAACGATATCGAGAGCTTTTCAAGAGGACCTACCTATTCCAATTTTAAAACAAATTTTGAATTTGAAAATTACTTTGTGAAACTAAAGTCAAAAGAAAGACAAATTATTGTTAAGTTCAGAACTTCATATATACACTTACCTATAGAAACTGGAAGGTGGATTGGAATACCCAAAGAAAACAGAACTTGTAATCTATGTTTTAATGAAATTGGTGATGAATATCATTATCTATTTAAGTGCGAACATGTATCTGTTAAACAAATAAGACAACTATTTATTCCAAATTACTGCTATACTTACCCTAGCCTTATTAAAATGCGTGGACTATTTACTATATACAATGTAAAAGTTTTAAAAAATGTTAGCAAATTTCTAGAAAAACTTGAAAAGCTATTGAATGTACGTAATTAGTTTGTAGCCTTTGTGCCTTGTTATCCGCCATGTATATATATGAATATGATACATATTGACCTCTTGTTACATACTTTGTATGTCTGAGAGAAATAAAAATCTGAAATCCGGTATGTAACATCTAATTCCGTGGTAACATGTATGGTTATGCACATCATTTGCAATGAACCGGAGCAGGCACAGGGACCTTAGAACTTGTTACAGCTATACGTGGACCTAAACTAAGGTGTTCTGCGTAATTTTACATGTTTGGGGGGATAAGATCGACTTTCGGTATATTGTCATCATTGGGGTTGGCATTTTTACCGAAAGTTGATCCTAACCCCTAAAACGTGTAAAATTACTCAGAACAATATCGTTTAGGTTCAAATATAGCTGTAACAAATTCTCAGGTCCCTGTGGGAGCAGGCACAAACAACGCAAAATTGTTTTTTACATGTGTATAGAAAGAGCTAGCGGAAGTTCTTGAAAAATAAACTAAGATAATGGTCAGTTTACTTCAGTATATTTAACCATGGACTTAGATAATCAAATTCCGTGATTTAACTCCTACTTTCAAAGCCACGCATTATAGTTAGCATATGATCTGTGAAATTTGAGGATTCTTTAACTTGGTATTACTCACAAATGTACAGTAGATGTCACCATTCAAATACGATTTATGTAAATAAGTTCAAGAGAATACAGAAAACACTTTCGTGTACATTAAAATGTAAAGCCTAACGAAAAATAAACGGTGTGAACATTTCAGTGACGCATCAAATACCTTCCACGTTGCCGTTTTATCTTCAAATTGCACGGGTATGTACACCAATGAGTAGTCTAGGAGTTAAAGACATGGAACTTTAGACCATTGTCTTATATTTTTTTCAAAAGTTTCCACTCAATCTCATACTTGCTAAATTTGACTCTGAGATATGTGTGCCTGGTCCGAATCATCATTAAAGACACTCACACTAACTCGCACATCATCATCATCATCATATCATCATCATCATCATCATCATTTAACGGGTATAGATAGCATTGAAGATCACAGAACGAAAGCATGCGGTTAGGGGTTCAAATACCGTACCTGATGACCCTGGCGGCCCAGCGACCCCCTGGTCCATGCCGTGCGGCGTCGTAGTTTGCCCGGGCGTGAAAATACTTGTCCGAGTTCCTCCAGTTCGCCCGTCTCATGTCCCTGTTAATTACAAAGTTTAAAAACACTTCACTGATCAACATCATAACAGAAACGGTCAAAACTGAAAACGAAAATAGTCAAAGAGTCACAGATTTCCGAAATAATTGGTCAAAACAGAACTACAGTATTTTTAACTCATCTAAAGATTGGTAAATGTATATCTGGTCTAAAGATTGGTAAATGTATATCTGGTCTAAAGATTGGTAAATGGATATCGGTCTAAAGATTGGTAAATAGATATCGGTCTAAAGATTGGCAAATGGATATCAAGTATATACAAATTAGAAAATGGATATCACCTATAAACATGATTGATGAAATAATGAATATCGAATATATAAAGTGTGGTAAAAGGATATTCAAATCAATGTTTAAAAAAATATTTATGAAATTGATACCATATGACAACAAGGACCTACCTGTATCCCCTGTACATATCACGTGTTCCACGGTAGGCGTCTTGGACGAACCTAGCTCCCTTGGAAACAGAGGACAACCAGCCGTGGCTCTCGGTCATCAGACATGCCACTAGGATGACGGTGAAGACCAGCGATAACGTGGAGACCTTCATAATGGAAGTATTACACTAATTCCAATCTCGGACTCGTACTTTTATAGAGAAGGGAGCGTAAACTGTTCCTGGTTTGTCCTGTCTCATTGGTTCACGACTCAGAGCGCTGACCAATGGTACAATATTATAATAGTATACTTTGAGTGTTTTACTAAGAAAAGTACTTAAGTTTTGTAATATTTAGTGGGATTGATTGCTGAGGACATTCACAGGCACTAGAGTAGGATGGCAGTATGATGATCAAGTGGCTTGATGGTTAGTGATCTTATGTTCAGGAGGAAGTATGTGGCTACAGTAGAATATACACCTCCATCTTAGTATAACTGCATAGAGTATTGCCACTGCTACTACATGCCATGTGTGTGTGTGTGTCGCGAGCGGAGTTACTTAATTCCTTTTTCTAGTTTTTTTTTTAAAGAAAAGTAATAAATGGTCTTAAAATTTTACCTGGATTTGTTTTATATATAACTGATAAAAACGCCTGGTATTTGACAAAAGTTATTTTAGTACTGTTCGTAAATTGAGGTTGATGTCGGGAAATGCTCGTAAATAATACGTGCGGTTTATATTTGAAAACAAAATGGTGAAAATATCACTTCGTTGCATATATGCCATGAGTTTCCATTCTCGAAAATGTGTGAATTTGTGAACAAAACGTTTGATAATTGTATAAATCTGCATATATATAGCACAGTGACATTTGCTGGCAATCAATGAATGGTTGTCGTTACAATCCCGTTTGTTTCGGTTGTTTTGTAGGCTGCGTTATTAATTTTGAATTTCAGTGTTTAACGGCTTCGTGAATTTTGACCAATTTAGTCTGGAGCATCCTTAGGCTAAGCCGGAAGGGGACTCAATTTTATACAAACATAGGATGCCCCCACAAGTCCCAAATCTGGGGAAATTTCACTTTGAAAAAGAAATCATTCTTCTAAAAACAATGTATTCAAAATGTAGTTTATATATATATATAATGCAGGTGTGTTGTGCAGGATAAATCCGCTATCCATGTTTATCTGAGACACGCCCTTTATTTTTATGATCAGGCCATTTCTACTGTACTCTGCTACCACAGAGGGACGGAGCCGAATATGGGAAATAGAGGGAAATTGTTTTATAATTCATTCTTCCTTAGTATAACTGGATGTATTTTAACCAAAGTTGCTCTCGAACATCCTTGGATTTAATTTTGTATAAATGGAGGGCTTGTCCCGAGGGGCGGGGCTCAAAATCCTTCTCCTTCTGTACCTATGGAAGGATTTAAACCAAATTCGTTCTATTGCATTTTCTTTTTACTTAGAACAAACAGTGTGATAAGCTTTTCTTGTAACAAGAGAAGCGTGGCGTTAGCTAACTGTTTGATCATACGACCTCTCCGTCGGTAGGCCGCCACACCACCAACTACTATATATATGTACATGACATTCCATATTCCCACTGCTTTATGGTAATATACCACTTCCAAAGTTTCAACGAATTCAAGTTTGTATAGGTAGTAAGCACGAGAGGGAATAACATTTTTGATAGCATTGTATATAATGTACATGTAAGTGATATCATCCGACCAAGTTTGTTTCGATTTAGTCAGATATATATATTTGTTATTTGACTGAAAATTTAATTGTGTTAATTCGATACCAATTGTTTGTGACCGCAGATTTCTAAGTATATCATCGCGTATCGGGACGTCGACCACAACCACACACAACATATCTACTGTACTTCACCGGAAAATTAATCATTTGTAGCGTTTGTTATGACCCATTGTTTTGCGTTGTTAAAATCTTATGTAATAAACCACAACTAATTATAACCCTTTCCGGAGTTTGTCGTCTGACGTGTTATTGAAATTCCATAACCGTTTATCACTGCAATGTTGATAGAAGCATCACCAAACTGTCAAATTTTCAATGCCTGTGATTTTCGCATTGGTAAGTGCTGTCATGAAATGTTGTGAAATAAAGGTGATTAACGATTCTGTTTTGTTCCTATTGTTTTGTAAGCCGCGGTAACACGGAATTATATTAAATTTGCCATCTTCTGGCCTGGTTGTCGTTACAGTCCCGTTTTGGTAAACCTAATTAAGGACATACGGTTTCGGTTGTTTTATATGCGGTGTCATTTTGAATTTCAGTGTTTACATCTGATCTGGTTTTGGTTGTTTTGAAAGCACTACTGATAGAAAAACTTAGAGTATGTAAAATATAGGGCTCTGGGTTTGCCTTAATTTTAGTACTAGTATAATACCCGCCTCCCTCTGTCTCGGCCGGTTCTGATGAAGCAATTATATAACAATTGTTTCGTTGTTAGAAGCTACGCTATCACAGCTAACGTTAGTTAGGCCTACGTTACATGTTAGGCCTAGCCCGAGTTTCCATATCTACAGTATCTGTCAACTGAAATGTCAACTCGGGCTGCGTACATGTACGTGCTTGATAGCACAGTTTCTTCGGTTTGAATGTCACATAAGCATTCATCCTTCTTAAAACCAATAAAAAGTTATCATGTTGTTGTTTAGAAACGAGACATTTTCCGGATTATTTTTGCCGAGCCGTCTCGACAACTGTTGTTCTAATTAGTACTTCCGCGAAAACGTCCCAAGCTGTCAGTAAAGGTAATAACCGTATAGTATCGAATGTTAAAATGGAGTGACATTGTCCAATACCATGTTTATAGATCTACGAAATCATTTGTCTTCCAAGCTTCACAGTCTACCCTAAATATATATATATGTCATGTCACTGTCAGAACTGCACAGGGACTTGATAATTAAGAAAATTGACCATTTGCAAGATTTGTTCTAGGTTAACCAATATACACAATCCACGGGTTTGTCATTTTCTGTAACTATTAATCTAAACACATAAGCCGTCTTTGAAAATAGAAAGAATACTCCACACACCTCAGAATATATTAAGAAATATTAGCTATTTCCAGGTCCCTGTGAATCATGGGGTCACTTGTACCCGAACACTCCCCAAACAGCTCGCTTCAACTAAGGGGGGCCCGCACTGTGACTTGGGTGAAAAGTTTGAAAAACCGTTGAATTTGACCAAAGTATCAAAAAAAATCAAAAAAATCTTAGTCTTAGAATGTCAATTTAGATTTTAATTTACAATTCACATTTCCAAGTTGCCAAATATAATTAGTTATAAAAAAATAAGTAAACATTTAATAAACATTGTTCTGTATTAAAAAATGTATATAAAGAACAGAAGTTCACTCAGGTGGGTTCAAAAGGTATCGGAATTGTGATATCTGAATTAAGTGTCAACAGCTAGATTACTGGATCCCTGCAGGCACATAAGCGGCAGAGGAAAAAAGAACTTAACATTTGATTGGTTTCTATCTAGTCCATCCATGTGTAACGTACAGGAAAGAGAGTTAGTGACTGCTTCCACAGCAGGGATCAAATACGCGATCACCAACTTCCTAGTTGGACAATCTACCACTGAGCTAAAGGGAAATTCCCTCCAGCTCGAAGCAAGGAGATGACTGTATTCATGTACAATTAAAACCTGACACACATGTACATGTTATACTCACCCTGGTTGAGGTCAGTGGTAGTAGAGAAAACGTATATTTCGGGGGGACCAGATCTCTATTCAAATATACAGTTGTATAAAAAAATGTGAAGTTAATATAAGAAGATGCTGTATATGGAGAAAATAAATTATTCATTAAAAATTAATTAAAAAAATAAAATCTTTTAACAACTGTTGAAATGTTTAAAAGTAAAAAAAAATCCCATTGCATTCATAGGCTAATTCCCGGTTCTGTAGATCCATTGATAGAACTGTGAGCATTAATACAATAATTAGGCTGGACAGGGAAAAGTGAATGGATCCTAATTTGATAGATATCAGCTGATTCAAAATGTATGATAATCTGTCTTATATATGAAAATATACAAATGACATCTGTGTATATAAATGTACCTAAAAATATTATCACTGGTTTTGATAAATGAATAATAGATATGATTGATTTCATATTTAGATATGATTTTTTTTAATTTTCATGACAACAAGTGTAGAAGACTACCAAGGTACATACATCCTAGTGATGACCCTGTCTGCGTCTCTGCCTGCTGATCAGGGTAAAATGTACAAGCGATGACATCATCTGCGTCTTTGCCTGTAAAGGGATAAACATCCTTCCTAGTGATGATGTTGTCTGCATCTTTGCCTGTTGCCTCTTGGAGGTTCCTTTGACACCATTGGAGTTGTGTGCCTTGTGGACTAGCTAGTGAGGATGTTGTCTGCGTCTTTGCCTGTTGGAGATTACTTTTACACCATTGGAGTTGTGTGCCTTGTGGACTAGCTAGAATTCATCCATTCGGAGTAATGATAACTATGAAGCCTTCTTCATGTATATTAAGCTTGTGTTCAAGACTAGTGAGGACCAAAACCAGGAAATCTGATCACTTCAAGATGCAAATGACATTCAGTTGTTTATACATGGAAAAACACCATTTCTCTTACTCAATGAAATCTCCAAAATCTACACATCATCTTATAAGGGAAATGACTGAGGTGTCTCGAGATCATTTGTCCCCAGAGATTGGCCTTCACCTTGTTACTCCAAACTGTCCCTTATGGCACAGCAGAGGAGATCAATGTCCACTCCCTGATCCTTTCTGGGCATTTTATTGGCCAGGAGGACAGGCCCTTACCAGGTAAATATGTCGTCATTGTTTGTGGGGATATCATCATATGTTGGGGAGAGGCAGACACTTGCAACATGTCATCATTGGTCAGGGGTGGAAGTGACACACCCTTTGTCATCATTGGTCGGAGGGTGGGGCAGGGGTGTAAGTGACACACCCTTTGTCATCATTGGTCAGAGGTTGGGGGGCAGGGGTGGAAGTGACACACCCTTTGTCATCATTGGTCGGAGGGTGGGGGCAGGGGTGAGGGTGACACACCCTTTGTCATCATTGGTCGGAGGGTGGGGCAGGGGTGGGGGTGACACACCCTTTGTCATCATTGGTCGGAGGGTTTGGGGCAGTGGTGAGGGTGACGCACCCTTTGTCATCATTGGTCGGGGGTGGAAATGACACACCCTTTGTCATCATTGGTTGGAGGGAGGAGGTCACAGATACTTGTAATACCACAAATGTAATCATTGGTGAGGGGAACACACCCTTTGAGGTTAGGGTCGGGGTTGGAGTGACACACCCTTTGTCATAATTGATTGGAGGGAGCCTGAGGAGGGCGCAGAAACTTGTAATACCAGGTATGTAATCAGTGATGAGGATGACACCCTTTGTCATCACTGGTTGATGGTGGGGGGTAGCAAATACTTGTTATATGTATTCATTGGTCAGGGGGATACACCCTTTACTGGTAATACTTATAATCATTGGTCAGGAGCAGTAGATATAACTCTCAGTTTATTGTAGGTTTATCCTCGACAATGCTGACCTGTTCTGTGGTAGGACAGTGGTGGATGTAGGATGTGGGTGTGGAGCTTCCTCAATAGCCTGTCGGATGGTTGGTGCATCTCACGTGATAGCAAATGACATTGACACAGGTGAGCCGATACCAAACCTGTAAAAGTTGTACGTTGACACAGGTAAGCCGATACCAAACCTGTAAAAGTTGTACATTGACACAGGTGAGCCGATACCAAACCTGTAAAAGTTGTACATTCATCTTGCTGAGGCAGTCAGGGATATTTATTTTCAGTTGTGCGACACATTTCATGGGATTTCCACTGCATCAGGAAAAAACATAGCCAATTAATCTAGATTCTCTTCAATCACGAGTAGCAGATTGTAAAAAGTTACTGGTAATTAACTCCCAGGAAAAGCTATTCACACAAACTTAATTCTTGTTTTGTTTTGATAAAAAGGCTATACATGTATTAATGTCACTTAAGACCAGGATGTGGCATTTTAAATGTGATATGGCACAAAGGCAGAAGACACCTTGTTTCCTGGTGTGAACAGATGATTGATTAAATATACATTAACTTATATATATAGGTGATGGTATGACAAGATTAACTAGAAATGAAATTGTCACCGATCTTATTCAACATGATTAGGAAAATACTTTTGTAAGGAAAGCGTAACATTTCATACTAGTATCATCCTCGATATCCAGGGTTTACACTCACTTGCATTCTCTACACCCCTGTCATAGCAAAAATGAAGGCACACGGCTAGCTATTTGATTGGTGTCAGGTAAAAAAAACCCAGACCAATCACTAGGCTGATACTTGTCCTTTGAAGATTACAAAGGAGCGACGCCCGACTTTAAAGCCTGTAAGTTTTTACCATTATGTGACCGCGAGATTGTTTTGATGTACATCAAAGGACCAAACTAGTAATCTCGTCTCATCCACAAGGTGCAATCTCCACGCAGAGTTACGGTCCTTGCACTCCCTGTAATGTGTGTGTGTGATTGAAAATGTGATTGAAAAGGAATGACAACTCTGGGTAGAGATTGCCACAAGGTGCTGCACATTGAGCCTTCGATTTTGCTATGACATATTCCAGGGAGCAAAAATGAGCATATAACCCTTGGATATCGAGGTTGTATTAGTATATAAATGATGGCTATTATTTTTCCAATTTTGGTAAACAAGATATTTATTTATACAGAGAGTTGATATTGTTTTTAACATGAACAGAAGTATTATTGAAAGTGACAAAAAACAATAAAACCACCTTATTCAATATCTAGCATACAGATTTAAAACTAAAAAGTATTTGAAACTAGCACCTCTGACTCTAAACAAGGAAAATAGGCACCAACCTACAGCCCTTGGGGGTAGGGCTGGCTCAAAATTTTCAAAGTATCAAACTGTCAACTCAGGGTTATAATTCCAACCAAGTGATTAACATGTAATATTCAAAGTATCATTTGCCATTATAAACCATAATAAATTTTGCCCCCCCCCCCTCCTTCCCCAGGGGGTAAACGTGAGAATCTAGGGTCATAAACATTAGGACCCTTCCATCTATGAAGAGTGTTTGATTCTACCATACCTGGGTCTTTGAGAAGAAGATTTTTGAAATTTCAGTCAATTCAACCCTTTTTGGCCCCACCCATCAGCCCCGGGAGGTCAGTCAGGGCTGATATGTGCATACCATCAAACTGCTATCCAATACTGATAATGCTAACCCAAATTGAATTACTTCCAATGGAAATTAAACAAATGTTGGCCCAAAATGTGATTTCCCTATATAATCTATAGTAAAGTGTATCCCCTCCCCAGGGGGAAACGTGAGACCCCAGGGTCATGAAAATTACAATTTTGGTAAAGCACCTTAAGACCCTTCCATCTATGAAGAGTATTTGATTCTACCGTATCTGGGTCTTGAGAAGAAGATTTTTGATATTTTAGTCAACTTGACCCTTTTTGGCCCCGCCTCTTAGGCCCCTGGGGGCTGGGGACCAAATCGGCCATGGAAGGTTTCTGCAAAATTTCATTGAAATTGGTTCAGGGGTTTTGGAGAAGAAGTCGAAAATGTAAATTGTTTACGGATGGATGCCGCCGGACAAAAGGCGATCACAATAGGTCACTTGAGACTTTGTCTCAGGTGACCTAAAAATCCAATTCATTTTGAATATGATCCTTCTAGTTCTTGAGAAATTCATTACATAGTAACAGCATGCTATTCTATTTAGCTTTTTAAAGCTCAATCATTGGGTGATTATAGCAAGTATTACTGATGCAGTGAATAATTCTTCCTGGCCATTTTATGCTAAATTTCAGTTTAAACAATATAATTGGCCTAAGGAGGAATCAGATTGAAACAAGACCTGCGATAATTGCTATACGCACATTGTTAAAATGTTGTTACATTACATGTACATGTTTTACAGTTTGTGTAAGTCTGTAACATAGCTGCTGAAACCTTACCAAAATCTTAAAAATAAAAATGTCCAAATGAAGTAGAATGAGTTATATGTTAAATAAATTAAAAAGAAAGGAAAAAAACATAAATCAATCTGTGGCTAGTTCTAGCTAACAATGGGTTTTTTCATAGTTTGTCACCAATGGTGTGCTTTGTCGTATCATGTCTGTTTTGTTTCACTGAATACATATAATAATGTGACCCTTTAACATCAGAAGTGCCTATATGTTAGCTATAAACTGATAACTTCTGTATGTGTTTCAGTGGCAGCAGATGCAATATCATTAAATGCGGACTTGAACAGGGTTTCTTTAACTACAGTAACCACCAATCTCATTGGTAGCCATAACAACAGATGGGACATAGTGTTGCTAGGAGATATGTTCTATGACATGGAATTTGCAGAGACCATCACAAAGTGGGTGATCTCCCTTCACAGTCACGGTGTTAGTGTGTTTATAGGAGACCCAGGCCGACTACCCTTGGTCCAACATCCACTTAAAGCTGATTTAAAGATGGTGGCAGAATATCCTCTTCCTGAAAACTGTCTGAAGGAAAACAATGGCCTGTCTTCTGGGTTTGTTTGGAAATATGAACAGGAAGTTATATGAAAATTGTGTCATTTTACTTAATTGTTATTTTTGTTAAATAAATTGAAACATTTTACAAATTATATGATTTAAGTTGGATTCTTTTAAAATGTAATTATTGAAACATTGAACTACGTTCAGGTGACAGCTGTAGGCAATATGAATGCCAGCTGTGTAACGGCCAGGTTAAACCACACAAACCATACTAGCACATCAAGTTTATTTCCATTTCTACTATAGTTGCTCCGGTGAATGAACAGCAGAGGTTTTGGTTAAACTCTGTATTTAGTGTTATGCTGAGTACTGGTAGTTTCTAGACTATCAATGTCAAGGGAACAAAATGAAATGAGGTCAATGCAAAGTTCAAATCAGATCAAGTTTTCAACAATATATAAAATGTTTGCTTACCTAGAGAATAATCTCCATATTACTGATGATATTATGACAAAGATTGCCATTCACAGAAGACGTAGTATCCTTGTGTATACGTGCAGACTTCTTTCCACGGACAAGGTCACGAAACTATAAATCAATAAATTTGATATCTTACTGATTATGAACATACCTTAAATATTAGTTCAAAGACATGTGTGTTGCACATACAGTTTAACAGTACTAATGTGCTTCTGGTTCAGCATTACAAGTGGAGGTCACATGAAAACTAGGTTATTTTAACAAGAGGAACATAGGGCCTGTATTGCTCACCTGGATATTTAAGCAATCATAACAAGATATATGATAAACATGTATATAAAGGCAATACTGCAGACCAACATACTACTGCTATTACCCTAGGCCTCGTCATTATTCAGGTGAGGATTGGAAAAGGTTTTAAATACAGTTCATCCTTGTGACTTTGACAGTACATCAGTCATTTATTTTGGGTTACTGTATAGCACTCCATCCCAGCATGTTACTGGTCACATGTCATTAGCCCGGACCTCCTAGTCATTCAGAAGATTTTTTTTTTTTAACCACATTTGACCCTTTTGGCATTGAAAGTACTTGTAGGTCAAGATTACTATTTGGGGAAACCTTTCTGCATTCCTTTTCAGCACGACCCTATGCATCTTGGCTATTTATAATAAGTTCTATAAAGGTTTTTTTTCACTCATTTGATCATTTTGACCTTTAGAATGGATCAATGTCATTTATAAGTAGAATATCTATGGCACTCCATCCAAGCAATTGCTACTGGCCATTTAGATGTTTAAACCCTTTTGACCCAATGACTTTGAACGTACAATTGTAGGAACTTCATAGCAATCTATCCCAGCATGCTACATGTTAAATACCACTACCCTCGTTCTTTTGGGTAATCAGAAGTTATATTTAAGTCTTTTACCACATTTGACCCTTTTGACCTTGAAGTTGCTAGGTCAAGGGCATTTAATCAAAGTTTATAGCACTCCATTCGAGCATGCTTCTTGTTAAATATATCATCAGCCTGGGGTTCCTGGGCAATCATCAAAAGTTGTTTGAATATGTGTTTTTGTCTTGCCTGTGATGGATGTCGCAAAGGCGAGGCATTGGTGAACATGTCACTTCTCTGGGTGTGGTGTCAACATTAGTTTCTGTGTCAAGCTCTGTTTCTTCTTAATTGTAATTAAGTGCTATGTCAATTAATTGTTATAAGACATCTTGATCAATGATTCTATTTGTCTTTAGCTGTGTGTTACGTGTACTATCTCATGAAAGAAGTTGAATCCTTAGACCTACACAACTTGCACCAGATACATCCTGGGCAGTACATCTGAACTCCAGCATCACTTGCTTTGTTGGTCCTAGTTATTACGTCTCCTCATCGATGTTAAGTTTTCTTTACTTAGCTCTGTTTCTCCAGAGGTATAAGTGCAGCACCAACTAATGATATATTATATAAAGCTTCAGGTAACAGATATGACCAGATATGCTGGATGTAACATATTTTGTGTTTCATACAGAACTACATGTATTTCTTTATGAATAAGGGGCCAGAGACCCTGTATCAGTCACCTGGATCTTTATGCCCAGCAATGGTATATATGGCTATTGGTTGGGGATTGCAACCATTTCAAAGTTATGGCCCAGAAATGAAGTCCCTAGAGATAAAGCCAGACCTCAGGGTCAGTTCTTATATTTGACTGTTTATCTCTTTATGCCCATTACAAAGTATACCAGGTATATATTGGTTACAGGGTGGGGATCTCAACCGGTTTAAAGTTATCGCTCAGGAATAAAGTTCTATGCGGTGGAGCCAGACCTGAGTCAATTATAATATCATGACTGTACTCATCTCTTTATGCCTATCAAATGTGTTTATGAATGTGGGTTGGGGATCTTAACTGTTGCAAAGTTATAGCCCCAAAATTAAGTCCCTAGAGGCGAGGCCAGACCCAGGACTCAATACAAATATCACAATTGTGTTTGTCATTTGATGCCCAGCACATGGTACATATGTTTATGGGATGGGGATCTCAACCATTTCAAAGGGATGGGTTTAAATTCAGAGTGAATTGTTAAATCATGATTGTGTTGGTCTCTTGATGCTCAGCAAATTGTATACATGGTTATAGAGTGGAGATATCGATAATTTCAAAGTTAAAAAAAAATGTTGGCTCTCCCCTAAGCCCTTCAGCTGGTACAATTTTGAATCCTCAACCACCGAGGAATGAACCAGATATGGTAGCTATCTAGCAGTTTGTTCCAGAGAAGTCACTTAAAGCAATAAATTACCACTGTTTGGCCCTGCCCCTCATCCCCCCAGAAGGTCAGCTCCGGACCATTTGCACCATCTTAGAATGCTTCCAACTAAATATGGTTGATATCTTCTCTTAGTTCCAGATGAGAAGTCTCACAAAGCACTATGGCCAAATTACCCTATTTTGGTCCCACCTCTCAGCCCCTCTATTTGTACAATTGTGAATCCCCACCAACCAGGGATGCTGCCAGTCAAATTTGGTCAAATTTCAATCAGCGGTTTAGAAGAAGATGTTTAAAAAATCGCTGATGGACGAACAATGGAAACCATGGTACGGTATAAGCTTACATTGGTCATTCAGACCAGGTGAGCTAATAACAAGAGGCCCATGGGCCTTTATGGTCACCTGAGTGTTAAAACTGATGTTATCGATGTTGCCAAATGAAAAAGAAATAATTTTGTAACAAAGGCAACTTGAACTACATGTAATGCAAAGGTAGTGTGAAAGTTCTGGGTAGTATATGTACTATGTACAAATAGTGGTTCTGTCAGTCAGCTGAATTATGGTAAAGCACCTTAAGACCCTTCCATCTATGAAGAGTATTTGATTCTACCATATCTGGGTCTTGAGAGGAAGTTTTTTGAAATTTCAGTCAATTCAATCTTTTCCAGCCCTAACCATCAGCCCCTGGGGGTCAGTCAGGGCTGATTTGTGCATACCATCAAACTGCTATCCATTACTGATAATGCTAACCAAGCTTGAATTAATTCAAATGGAAATTAAACAAATGTTGGTCCAAAATGTGATTTCCCTATATAAACTATAGTAAAGTTTACCCCCTCCCTAGGGGGAAATGCAAGACCCCAGGGTCAAGAAATTCACAATTTTGGTAAAGCACCATAAGATCCTTCCATCTATGAAGAGTATTTGGATCTTGAGAAGAAGATTTTTGAAATTTTAGTCAATTTGACCCTTTTTGGCTCCGCCCTCCCCTGGCGACTGGGGACCATATAATTCACAATTTTGGTTGACCTTTGGCTATGAAAGGTTTCTGCAAAATTTCATTGAAATTGGTTCAGGGGTTTTGGAGAAGAAGTCAAAAATGTAAATTGTTAACAGACGGATGCCGCCAGACGAAAAAAAAGCGATCGCAATAGGTCACTTGAGTCTTTGTCTCAGGTGACCTAAAAATGCATACAAAAAACAACATTAGACTTGAAGAAAATCAATAATCTTTATTGAAAAAGAAAACAAATAATTAGAACACAATCCTATGTAGATCTATGATAGTTTCATTTAAAAAAGAGCTGACACTAATTTCTTTTGGCATTTATTTCTCTTCTGAGTTCTTTAAGCTCCAACATGACACAGGCATCGGATAGTACCTCATCACAGGTGTATATATATATTAATTACATCTACCTGCTATTACCAATACGGTGATACCTTTCACACTGTAAGAGATATCAGAGTAAGATATGTCAGTATGTGAAGTATTGTTCAATCAGAATGGTACTTTAATACAACTCACTGCATTAAAAGCTGAGATTTTCTGTTAGGTGCAGTAAAGACAGAATATTTGATCTTTGCTACATTCGTATGTATACAGCTGTACTGTCAAGTAAATCTGAGAAAATGATAGTCAAAAATGGTAAAATTGTGTTGAGTAGGCAATGAAAATGGCCTAAACGAAGCCTTTAAGCTTGTCATTAGAATAAGACGCTAAAAATTACACAAATAGGTTAATCCCAACATTCTTTTAATACAGTGACATTTTTCGTTGCTGTATATGTCCTTCAAAAGATGTAATAAATACCAGTAGGAAAATAAAAGGATTTTCAGTTGAATAGTGTTTATATTTCACGAGTATGGCAGAGTATGCCAGTATTTTCCACTCATGTTAATAACTTGCGAAAAATATTGTTATTCTGCCATACATGCGAAATAAATACGGTAATCAATTAAAAAAAAAGTTCTCTACAGAAACATCGTTGAACTCTCCAGTAATAAACATCATTTTAACAGAGATATACACTAATACATCCATATATATGTATAGCTGTGAACTACTTTAACCCATTCACCCCTAAAGTCACTTTTGAACCTTACCAAAAATACTGGGCAAGTCCAGTTTAAATATGTAGGGGTGTATGAGTTAACATAAATACAACATCTTTCCTGAGAACACTTGTATAAATTAAGACTAGTGGTATTACATGTAACTAAGAGTGTGATGATATCTTGCTGTATATATATGTACCGGTAGCTACTCTATGAATTGCACATTGTTTAGGAAGAATGAGGAAACAAAATACAAATATATAATAAACCATATTAGTACATAATAAGATTTAGTCAAGAAAATGAAAATGACATGCATAAAAAGCACTACAAAT